TTAGGATGTCAGGAGGGAATATTTCTAGAGGGAGTTATGGTGTCAGGAGGGAATATTTCTAGAGGGAGTTAGTTAGGATGTCAGGAGGGAATATTATATGGGAGTTTCTGGATAGGGAGGGGGGCAGAGAAAAACATTTTGAGTGTTTGGGAGAGCTGGTGGTCTCTCGAAGAACCGACCAATTGTTATTACTCTCCATTGAATGAATACAAGTTTCTTTTCATTTGAGTTGTGTATTCTTGCTGTGTGCCTGTGAATTGTGTGTGAGATTTCCGGGACATATCAGTGGTATCAGAGCCCGACTTTCCTCAGCCATGGTAACAGTTGAGGAGGTGGCATCACAGGTGGAGGGATTCGAAGAACACTTGTCTTCTCTGCATTCTGATTTTCGTTTGGAGATGGATGGCTTACGTAATGACTTTCAGCGTCTCGATCCAGATAAGGTAGCAACTGGTCTTTCGAAGATCTTGACTCTGGAAAGCTCTGTACAATCTCTGGAAGAAGGCATTCAGGGTCTGGTGAAACGTTTTGATCTGTTGCTTCATCAACATGATCTTCCTCAGGTATCTTCTTCTCCTTTATCTACTACTGACGTTTCTCCTCCATTTCTCGCATCGAGTCGTGCTACTGACAAAGGGAGGAGTACGGCAATTCCGACGTCTTCTTCGATGCCGGTGTCGGAACATGCTTCTGATTCACTTCCTCGGAAGTTGGAGTTGCCTATTTTTTATGGGGAGAATCCAGACGGCTGGCTTTTTCGTGTTGAGCGCTATTTTGAGATTAATGGATTGCTTCCGGCGGAGCATCTGCGAGCTGCCGTTGTCTGCTTAGAGGGCGATGTGTTGGCTTGGTATTACTGGGAAGAAGGTCAGCGACCTTTTCGTGGCTGGGAAGAATTCAAAGAGCTCCTCCTTGAACGTTTTCGATCGACTCAAGAAGGTAATTTACAGGAGCAGCTCTTCTCGTTACATCAATCTTCTACTGTTAAAGAATATTGCCGCCAATTCGAGGTTCTCTCGGCTCCCTTACGTGGCCTGCCAGAATCAGTCCTTGAAGCGGTGTTTGTTAATGGGTTGCGTCCAGATATTCAGGCCGAGCTCCGACAGATGGAACCCGTTGGGTTGATCAGGAAAATGGTCGCGGCCCAGAAGATTGAGGATAAGAGCCAAGCCCTTTGGGCTTATCAATCGGGGTTATTTCCTCGTTGGTCCACAACATCCCTCTCTGGAGCCCATATTAATTCACGTGTCGCAGGTGACTACTTCTGCGGTCACTCGACCTACACGTGCCGCGATTCCTTCTTCTTCATCGGTCCCTATTAATTAAGTCTTCACCACCCGCTTTCAAAAGATGACCGATATAGAGATGCAGCAGAAGCGTGCGAAGGGTCTATGTTTCCGTTGCGACGAGAAATACAGTCCTGGTCATCGTTGTGCTCAGAAATCACTTCAGGTTTTATGGGTTCAGGATGATGTGGAGGAATTTGCTTCTGATGTATCTAATTTGGACAACACTTCGGCTGACACTGAAATTGCTCCGGCTCCAGATTCGGCCGTGCTTTGTGTTTCATCTCTTGTGGGCTTGTGTGCTGCTAATTCCCTTAAGATGCGTGGATGCATTTTGTCGCGTGATGTAGTCGTATTGATAGACTCGGGTGCCTCCCACATTTTTATCTCTGAAGCTTTAATTGAGGAGTTGAAATTGCCTCGTACTCCTACACACGAGTTTGGAGTTCAGATGGGTAATGGCGATGAGGTGAGAACTTCTGGAGTCTGCCGTCAAGTTTGCCTCAACTTACCTGAATTGGATGTCATTGCAGATTTCTTCCCTTTGAAATTGAGTTCTACGGATGTCATTCTTGGTTTTCAATGGTTAGCATCTCTCGGTGATTCAGTGATGAATTGGGGTAACATGTCTATGAAGCTTAATTTGGGGGGTATCCGTGTGAAACTACAGGGCGACCCTTCTCTTTGTTCTTCTCAGGTGTCTTTGCACGCTATGATGTGTAACTTGCAACATGAGGGACAAGGGGTTTTGTTGGAACTGAGACATTTGCAGGTGGTGGATTCTTCTTTGGACTCTGCTTTGTCTACACCCCTGTCCCTACCAATTTCTTCTTTACTGGATGAGTTCAAAGACGTTTTTGATATGCCTACGGGTTTACCCCCTACTCGGGCTAGGGAGCATGCTATTGTCTTGCGTGAAGGCACTTCCCCTATCTCTGTTCGTCCTTACAGATACCCTCAGTTCCAGAAAAATGAAATTGAATGCCTTGTCTCTGAGATGCTGGCTGCGGGTATTATTCAGCCAAGTACAAGCCCCTACTCGAGCCCGGTCCTTTTAGTCAAGAAAAAGGATGGAAGCTGGCGTTTCTGTGTTGATTACCGAGCCCTTAACCGTGCCACGGTTCCGGATAAGTTTCCCATTCCGTTATCGAAGAACTTCTCGATGAGCTTCATGGTGCTTCTATTTTCAGCAAAATTGATCTTAAATCGGGCTACCATTAGATTCGTGTCCGCAGTGAGGATATATCCCCAAGACCGCATTTCGCACACACGAGGGCCATTATGAGTTCCTTGTCATACCCTTCGGTCTTACTAATGCGCCATCGACTTTTCAGTCGTTAATGAATATTGTTTTCCATAATTTCCTTCGTCGCTTTGTTCTGATGTTTTTCGATGATATTCTGGTTTATAGTGCTTCCGAAGCTGCCCATTTGGATCACCTTCAACAGGTATTTTCTGTGTTGCGTGCCCATTGTCTTTTTGCTAACTCAAAGAAATGTATCTTTGCTCAGCCTAGCATTGAATACCTGGGTCATATTATCAGTGTGACTGGTGTTTCTGCCGATCCTTCTAAAGTCCAGGCTATGGTTGATTGGCCCCAACCATCTTCACTTAAAGCTCTTCGCGGTTTTCTGGGACTTACGGGTTTGGAAGTGCTTATTCATTGGCAGGACCTCCCTGATTTTGAAGACTCTTGGGAATCCTTTGACTTGCTTCGAGACCAATTTCCTCATTTTAACCTTGAGGACAAGGTTAGACTTTGGGCGGCGGGTAATGATAGGCCCCCAATTATCCTCACATATGCTAGGAGAGGAAAAGGGCAGCATAACCCAGGTCAGCAGTCGGTTAAGTAGGGAAATGTTTAGATATTGGTATGCTTATCGTAGCTATGCCAGCTGGGCATTTCTAGAGGGAGTTAGTTATGATATCAGGAGGGAATATTTCTAGAGGGAGTTAGTTGGGATGTCAGGAGGGAATATTTCTAGAGGGAGTTAGTTGGGATGTCAGGAGGGAATATTTCTAGAGGGAGTTAGTT